GGTAAATTATGGCTTCGGCACCCATTGACTGTTTTCGGTAACCAAAATTGAAACGTTTATTTCACTGTATTTTCCCATCAAAACTCTTCGCTGAATGTATTAAGCCGATTCCTTACCTTTTCAGCTTCAATCTGATTACATTTTTACGACTGTGAATTCCTGTTATACCATATTTTTCTTTAAATGAAACATACATACTACAAAATACGGCTGATTTCGAGTTGCCGATAATAGAACAGCTGGTTAACACGCAGTTCAAATGGAAAGGGTGCCGAAGAAAAAGAGACTGCCGACAATAGTCACTCTCACCTGAGAAGTTTGGAGCGTTGTAAAAACATGTTCAACCCGGTTTGATCAATTCTGTCGATTGGAATTGGTAGAACAGCAAGTAGCAGATAAATGTCAACAAACAAACCTGTCATGTATGTGTGTGATGCTGATAAATCGCTAATAGAAGTTCGGACGCTGCTTAGATTGACGAAAATACGTCCAACAGCTGGCCTTTACCAACAAGTTCTAAAATTTTCTCTAATGTGTGCAACATGTTGATGGGACAAAACTCTTCGGCCTTAATTGTTCCAGCAACTTTTTGAATAAGAACCACTAAGGATTCCTTCCAAATTTGTTGCACATGTCCAGTTTGCAATGATTCATTAACAAGGTCCAGCAAGATGTGGCCAATGACATGAAAGCGATCTTGAATAACTCTAGCATTAACATTGTCTACTCCAGCCGATTCTCCTTATGCAAAATACATAACTCTAACTTCATATAATGTAATTGGGTGAAAGCCTTCAAATCTACAATTACTATTAATTGGCTGTTTTATTTCGTCAGGTTCATCGATCAATTCAATGGATTGATTAATCAATAAAAAACTGTAAAACTAAATAATCATTAAACTTATATGCAATTACTTTATCTGACTGTTCTAATGTGCAATTAAAAGATATTATTAGGTTTATTTTTACTTATTACGCGCGATTGTGTTCCTTTTTCAATGATTGCAGGGCTGGTAGTGGGTATGTGATGTGATACTAGTGACTTTAGTGACTAAAATTACAAAAATAGTGGCCAAATAGTGACTTTTAAACAATAAAAAAGTGACAAATAGTAACATTTATTGATCGGAAATATATGGTTCCAATCATCCATTGATAAGTATGAATTGAATTCCTCACTATACAGATCACGAATTTGTTGGTCTAGGATTTAAAATCTCGATCGTGAAAAATTAGAGATTTAGGAATACATTTTGGAGCTTTTTTTTTTTGCATTGCCGTAATTTTAGTATGGAAGAAATACTATACAATTCAATGGACTTAAAATGAATTTCAAGGTTGTATGACATGATTTTTTTTTTCGATACTTGGACAAATACCAAAGCTACCGGGGGTCAAAGATTATTCAATTTTCTGACATTTGAACAAATGTCGAGAGGTTGAAAATTTTCCTAGACCCTTTTTTGACATTATACACTAAACCAACGGGAAAGGTATTTTTTATCTTAAAATTTAGGCAACCTCTTCAAAATAGGAATCCACGTAGGTTCACGTGCCAAACATACAATTCAATGGCATGGTAATGAATTCCACTCGATTCACTGGTCCAGTCCACATGTCATGCTGGTGAAGGTCAAGTGAAATTCACGTAAGTTTTTCGTGATTTCGTGGTATGGAAATTTTCTCGTCGTATTTGTAATTCAAAAATGGCGAAAGAGGAAAGTGTCCATTCGTAGTTTTTGGACGAGTTGGAATTTCCAGGCTTCTTCATGTTTTCAAGTGTAAGTTTTATAATGTTTATAAATTAAAACTCATTTATAAATTAAAATGAAATTGCAGAATACGGGAATGGATTTTTCGAGGTGGTACTGCTAACAATCAACAATTGACGAACTATAAGTGTGCTACTATAAAGTTAATGTACTTCAATTTTGAGATCATCAGAGCCAATTATTAAATAATGTAAATTAGTGAATTTTCCTAGAATTAATTCATTTAATAACCAAATAAATCGAAATATACATCTATAGTCTATCACTTATTCACTTAATTATTACTGAAAAATTCAGTAACATTTACTTGCTAATTCCCGTAACTTTTAAGTGATCTTCAACATCGGAAAGTTCAATAAAGTTTACGTAAAAATCAATTGATGTGAATCACACAAATCCCCCAAAACATGTAATATTCACCTGCAAAGTATGATGGCATATATCTACGCGCCTATTCAGGTGAATTTTACGAAAGTTTTTGTTGAAGTGCAGGCTTAGATAACTTTGAAGATCTCAATGTAAAATAGCCGGTATATTGGGTCTTAGACTTTTTTCGAAATCTCTGAAAATTTATGATAGGTCTATTACGATTTCAAGATAATAAAAAAATCAAAATATTAGAGCTCTCTGAGTTTTTAATGTCAAATTCTTTACTCTCAACATAGGTCGTAAAAAAGTGACTTTAGTGACTAAATTTTAAGGAATACTGACTTTAGTGACTTTTTGATGAAAAAAGTGACTTTTAAGTGACTGACTTGAAAATAGTGACCAAGTCACTAAAAAGTGACATGCTACCAGCCCTGTGATTGTCATTATGTGATCTACAAAACTTTTTCTACCATTTGTCCCTTTTTCCGTTTAAGACGCAAAAGATCCAAATTGTACCAGTTGTTCGAGTTTTTCAATGAAACAAACTTTTGCTTAACTAGTTGATTGGAACACGTTTTCGAAGCATTATTAGATTCATCTAAGTTACCGGCCACGAATGGAAAATCCACGCTTCTTTCCACAAGATTTGAAACAGCTTGTTTCGAATATTTCCTCCTGCCCTTCAATTTTACTAAATTATCGTTATCGTTAACATGGTCCAAGACATTAATCACTAAGGTCTCATGATCAGTTATTTTCAAATCAGTATCCGTAACTGAACAAATAGAATCAAAATTGGAATAAACGTGGTCAATTAAAGCTCTACTGTCCCTGGAAATACGCTTATACTCATTTACCGTTTGCTTTAAATTGAAAAACTCAGCTAAACAATTCAAATGATTCGAATAGGGTTGTCACGCAAATTAATATTAAAATCACCAGCTAATATATTTAGTTTACTAAAATCAAGAAATGTCTCGAGTCAGTTCTCTAAAACTTCACCAAAACGCTGGTCACTAGAACTGGGAGAATGATACAAACCACCATAATTACCCATCTTCATGCCACGCACGCTGAAGAAAGCATGTTTTACTTAAGAAAGTATGTTTGTTTCTTTTTTAAAAGAATTTGCTTGTAGTTTTTTTTTAAATAAATTATGTCGTATTTGAATAAAAATTAGTTTATAAAAAAGCATATAAATTCAACCATTTCAAAAGGGCGTATTTATAAAGTAAACTGAAAACTCATTCATGAAATAACGGTTTTTTATTCCTCAGAAATATCAATACAGTCAACTCCCTAATTTAAGAATTGCTATTTTTTTATGATGAACTTGATGATCCCATGAATATGGAACCATCAAATTCACCATCAGAAAAAATCACATTTTTAAATTCCTTAACATAAACCAAACAAAGAGCTTTTCGAGTGTGATTATTTATTCCCTTTTAAATTCGTTATAATTGCTTATCTTTTGACAGATACGTGTATAACGTGTACTACTTGCAGACTTTATCAGTGCCAAGTACTCAACACCACTTGGCACTGATGAACTGTCAAAAGATAAGCAATTGTAATGGAATTAAATGAAATAAATCAACACACTCAAAGAGCTCTTCATAAAGGGATTCCGTTAGGAGGTTCGACAAAATTAAAAGATTGCTAAACCATTTATTTAATTGTCTGTTTAGCAATTATATCACGGTGTATCAGAAAGAAAAAAAAACTAGCATACAACGAAAGAGGGACACCTAAGATTTCGTTTAGTGGGTGTTTCAACGATACTGATTTGTTTTTATGATAATGATATCTTACCAAAGAGAACGGAAATTTTTCATTAATTAATCAAGCTTGAAAATTTAAATTTTAATAAGGTGAATTTGTATGGCTTTATTGAAGAATTTTTCAGCCTTAAAGGCTGATTCGCTTCTGGGTCAATACATATATGCAGTTTGCGACATGATTTAAAAAAATCAACCAGGAATGAAATCCCATAACGTGATTGCGTGTATTCCCGGATGGCGAAACACCTGATCTCGTGTGCATCTAGCTCTTTTCAGCGGAAGAAGTAAAGATACGGATTCTAGCTGAAACCCGTCAACGAAACTTTGCTTTCAATTATTTTATGCAGTTTCACTGACTTCCGACTGTAGACGCACACTTTAACTACGGCACGTTCTGATGGAAAACAGTGTTTCGAGATTTCTCAGAGTTGGCAAAAGTTCAGGAGAAGTTTCTGCGTTTTGCGTAACATTATTTACGGTTGACTTCTAAGCTTGTTCCAACATCTTGTCACGTGCGTTCATTAGTGGCAAATACTGTCAGACACAATTTACTGCTCTTGAGCTATTTCCATCACCCTTTCTAAATAAAACCTCGCAGCCTTTTACAAACGCACGTTTCCTTTTTTTTTATTTCTTCTAAGTTTATACCGGTAGTTCTAAAAATATACGCTTGTCCTCACTTCTCAGCAGGAGTTGTATTGAAGCTGGTCGCAAAGTTCCTTCCTTGTCCATTTGTCCACCGTAAATGTTGATGAAATAATGTTTAACCTTCCATTATATCATTCATCATTCATGTGCCTGCTGAAAGGCTTCTTCCATTTCACAACCACAAGGCGCATCGGAATGGCTTTAATTGGGACAGCAGATCTCCTCCAACTGCTCGTTACACACACTCAATAAATCGAATAGCAAAAACCTGTCGACTAGACCGTTTGATTGCCACCACCGTCGAAACAATGCATCAATAAAACAACCTTCACGACCAGGTGTCATTATAAATGAATAAAATCCTATGCAAAAAGGAGCAAATCGTCGATGATCCGCTTTTCCAGATCGCGCAGGTTACACTTTACCATTATTCGATTCATGATTCGGAATGGATGCTTTCGGCTGTTGCTGCTACTGCTGCTGATGATGTTCAAGCGCGGGATCGCTGGAGGCAACCGTGTGTTGATTTAACCTTTTTCTGACACACTAAACTGCACTGACTGTCTGTCTGCACCCACACGGTTGATCACGTTTTTTCCGTTGCACTTTGGAGGCCCGGTTCTTCTACTTCATGATGCTTCCAGCGCGAAGATTCCAATCGACGACAATACAAATGGTTATTGCTTAAGGTTTTCGTACTCCGGATGGCACTGCACGGTTGAATTCAATTATGAATGTTATGATTTTTTTGCTTCGAAATTTGTCCAAATTTGGAATCACATAATTCACGACTTCGCCACAGTCCCACAGCAATAGAACGAATCGATCTAGTTAGAACCGCATTGCAAACAACCGAATTTAACGATAGAACGTGACAACGGCTCCACCGAACAGACCTATTACAGGTTGGAGGTACAAATTTGTACTGAAAATGCTAGATCCAAACAAGTTCACTTTATAATAGTATATTTTGCTTCTGCGCTGCGTACTGCACCTTTTTGGCTCCACAGCTCCATCGTTCGGCGGTTCGTTACTTCTAGTGCCTCGTGATCTCTCTTCTAGTCTCTCAATTCTCTGCGCTCGTTGGGCCTTCTAGGCCGGAGACCGGCAAATGTGCAGATTGTTTGTTTTGTTTTTCGTCGTCACCATTCAGGCAAAATGGTTTATTTTTTTTCACATTCTCTCACACCGATCGGCACTTCGGACATTTATTGATGACAATGAAATAATTATTCATTTCAAAAGCTGTTGAGCCCACTGGACAATTAAATAATTAAAGCGATAGGATGTCCACGGCAAATATAAACAAATAAAAAACTATAGAAACATGATACAAAACAGCAAAGTTTGTTAAAAATTTGTATTAACAAACAAGAGAAAAAATAATAGCGGTGACGGTGGTGTAATATTAAGCGTAGCTGCCTCTCACTACAATGGATCTGGGTTCAATCCCAGTCAGCATGTTCGGGATTTTCTGAGGCATATATCCTCTGAAATAAAGCCGTTGGTCTCCGGTCCATGAGTAGATGGGTCGATAGGTAGGGTCCAGTTGTGGGAGCTACCTCCCTGGCGTTGGTAGCATTGGTACTCAGTATGGAAAACAAGATCGACGGAAAATAAATCAAGGAAACAATATAATAAAAAATTATTTAGAATATCTGTAGAAATGGAGCAGTTCCATGCCAAATGATGAATCGGAAAAACTAGAGCTTCTCTAAATTGCACGAGACTTTGCATATTTTTTTGTTATGGACTCGATAGACATTTTATACTACCGTTCATACTGGCGACAACACTCTGTTGAGACAACGAAAACTCACCCCCAAAGTCCTCCCCTGATCCTATCCTTTGACAATGTATCCCTATAATCTTGAGTAAGCCGTGAGTATTCGGCCCAACTCCTACTAGACATAGAAATAAGTGAATTTTGTTTAAAGCAATGACCAATGAATTATCGGCTTCGTAAAGCTAACGCGATTGAACAAGATAAAAAAGAAACTTATTATATATTTTATTTTTATTTTCAGTAGTATAAATAGATTTCAACTTTTCTACTAGTAGCAGTAACCAAATTTATTTTGAATATTCCATTCGCAAAATAAAAGCATTTTAGGATTTTACTCCTGCAAAATTTTAATATCATCATCACTTTCATAGTTCTTCTATTCCCCATGCGGACCAACTTCGATTTTCCAAACACGGAACTCAAAATGGAACCACTTTCAAGCTGTCAAATTGAACCACTTTTTTACTCTTCTGGTATTATGAAATCAATAAAAATATTGCAGTCAATCAATATGAAAATTATTTAAGTTCTCTTCATATCATTCCATTTATGAAGACTTTTCAACTTCTATATTCTGGTCACAACTCCGAATTCATTCTGATAAAACGTCTCTATGAGTGGTTTCAAGGAATCCACAGATCTCTAGGATCAATTTTATGATAAAGAGATATTGTGTAAATGTAAGCCACAGTTTTTTTTTAAACCATAAAAACTATTTCTCTAAACTGTTTCATCAAAAATTTATTCATTATGCTATTTACTTCACTTTGCAAAATAATTTACAAATGTAAACAAACAATCGAAGAGTCGTCAAGCTTTAGGCAAAATACAGTTTTTGTCAGCGCTTGCTATGGTGATGGATCGATTATTTCAGCGTTGTCAACGTTGAATAAAATTCACTTTACATCGCCCAACTATTTAATAAAAAAACAGAATTCCTGTCCAGATTTTTTAGATTCAAAAATCCCACGAAGAGACATACACACCCCACTGTTTTTCGTTTTTCGGCTATTTTCCATTCGATTGTGCTGATTTTATGCCTGTGATAAATGTTAGCCATGCATCAAAATATAAAGGGGCCTCATAGCCTAGTCAGTAAAGGCACGGTATTACCAAGCCGGAGGCGGCGGGTTCGATTCCCGGTCCGCTCGAGGAAATCTTTCGGGTTGGACATTTTCTCGACTTCCCTGGGCATAGATAGAGTACCATTGTGCTTGCCACACAATATACAAATTCATGCAATTGGTATTGGCATCGAAAGCTCTCAATTAATAACTGTGGAAGTGCATTAGAACACTAAGGTATTGGCAATAAGCTAATATGGGCTAAGCAATAAGCTTGATATGCGAATAAGAAGAAAGAAGATACATCAAAATATATCAATTGTAGGGCTGGTAGCATATCGCTTTTTAGTTGCTTGGTCATACTTTTCATGACATAAAAGGTCACTGTTTTGAATGCGACAAATTCTCAATAATTAAGAATCAAGCTCGAATCACCCAATCCAATGCAACGAAAGGAAATTTCCAAACTCAATATACAGCCATTCCATAACAAAAATATATAGTGGCTCTCAGAATTTCGTAGAAATTGTAGTTTTGTTCCTTATCGCAAAATATTAGACCCGTATTTTTTTTTTTGTCATTATGGTGACCATTTTCATGTTATCTTCCATTTAACATTTCTACCTCGGGAATGATTAAGTCTTGACAGTGAAGTCTTTAGTGGGAATGACACTGATAAAGACTTTACATTGTAGTCAAAATACTTATCTGTCATGGATACCAAAATTAATTAACTGGAATTAAATGGAAGGTAACCTTTTTTGCTGTTTTCTTAAGATTATTAATAATTTGTATCTCTTTCGTTCTCATAAGACTTTTTTACTTGATTTGTTTTCCGTCAATCTTGTTTTGCATGCTGAGTACCAATGCTAACGACGCCAGGGAGGCAGCTCTCACACCTGGACCCTATCTATTGAGCCATCAACTCATGAATCGGGAACTAACGGCTTTACGTCCCTTCCGAAGGAAAACGTGATCAGATATATCATGCCTCAAAACATCCCGGTGGTGCAGACTGGGTGAGAGGTAATCACGCTTACCACTACACCACCACCACTCATCAGACTTACGTTAGGACGATCTTAGCAGGAGTCAATTCTTCTAGGCAAAAATCCACAATATAAGCGAAGACAATATATCAAGAAGACTGGCAACTTTGCCTAAATCTGAGCGACAAACACAGTAGCGCTGCGCTCGAGCGAAAGTGGAAGCAACGCATAGAAACCTTTTTTCTGAGGATGCAACCTTTGCTATCCAATTCGTTCGGAGCATTTACCTTTGAGCGGCAGATGACGCGATTGTGCCTGTATCATACCGGTCGTTTGAGAAAATGGAAGAGTTGCCAGTATTCTTGATATATTGTCTTCGATATAAGGCAATATTTCTACTAAAAATAAACCAGAATGTATTCGTCAGTATTCAATCGTCTTTGATCTGTGCCTATCAGCACTCTTTCCAAGCCGGTGTCTTCATGAAGTTGAAACTTAGATTCAGCGAAGTAACTACACAGCTTGAAAAAGTAGTGTAAATTTCTGTTTAGCATGATGCACATAAATGGAGCGTCACATATCATATAAGTATACATTATATATCATGTAAAGTTATGAGACATTACATGGAATGTAGCAAATATTGTATACAAAATCTCATTATTGTAAACAACATTGTTTACAAGTTGCTCGGTTGCGTGAATGTTTACATCACTATTAAAATTCGGAATTTTTATCTGTGTAGATCTCAGATTTAGAGAGAAATTCAGTCCTCAGTCTTAATCACAAGTCTTAACCTGATGCTAAATGCATTCCTTTTCACCTTTTTAAGATTCTGAACCACGCTATTGGAAGAGGCTCTCGATTTAGTAGATTCTTAGCGTCTTGTACAGTTTTTTTTTTTTATAAGTTTAAGAATATGGCATTCGCTCCAGCAGGTAGTCCAACGGCGCGTCATCTACAACCGCTAGGCGTGGTAGCTATGCCTTCGCTTAATAGAACAAGTTCAGGACAGCTTGCTCGACCTCCTGAGTCATCCGTGCCAAATACTAGTGGCTCTAGAAAAAAAATCTCATCCGTGTCGAACATTCACTCCAAAAAGTCACTAAAGTCACTGTTTCTTTTATAAAACTTAATCACTAAGGCCATTTTATTCCGACCAATGTTGGGAATAAAGAATTCGTCTTTACAAAATTTGTGCTACAATTATTCATTAAAAATCAGCGTTTCGAGTCTGAAAAAAGAGTAGCGAACAGACGGGACCGTTAACTGTCCAAATCCGTCCGTGATCCAGACAATCAACTCAGTTATCTTAACAATTTGTATTAGACTATCAAATTTAAAAATTTTTGCCTTTTCCTGTGATCTCGACCTATCACACATTTTCTGAGGATTCGTCAAAATTTCTGGACCCAACATCGTGAAAATTTTCCATGCCTAATGTGCCGAAAAATGAGCTAGGAAAAATTACAAGCTCTCTCTATTTTTTCAAAGGCAAAAATTAAAAAAAAATCTGGCATCAACGGTAGTTTTAGTCTTTTAGTATTTGTCCAAACATCGAATCAAAAAATGTCCAATCCCTGGTTTTAGAAAAACAGAGTCCATGTACATGATTTCAAAATGATTTCAGTTTTTCTAGGGCTTTGAACCATTGTTCATAATTTTGAAAATTAATCTTGGTCGCTCAATTTTCTTAATTTGTTTGTCTTTAAATCTTGAGTTTTTAGGCTCCAACATTCAGAAAATCGTTCCAAATATTTAAAATTTCCCTGAATTTTGTTCATTTTTTTTTCAAGATCGAGATTTCAAGTCAAGTTGTTATATTAACGTGATCTTTCAAAATTTTCCTCGATCCATAATAATGACATAAGATAGATTTCTTATACTGTAAACTAGAAAAGTTATCTAGGTTTCATCTATGTTTAGTTCTATAATTTTTTGTGTGTTCAGACATGCCTACACCCTAGATCATTAAAGTTGATTATTTTTAAAATATCAATATTTGTCTCTTTGAACATTTATCTCTGTGCCTCAATTTTTCGTTCTTATCTTCCGA